TCATTTGGATGAGGTTCTCAAGAAAATGAACGTTGAGAGACAAGCTTACCATGGAAAATCATTCATTGGTAACCATGTGCACACTTGTTGCAAGGTAACACAAATTCTACCCTTAGAGTAGGAATTTGTTGAGTCACAAAATTCTAATGAGTTGTTGCGTTTTTTGAGCGGGGGTAGGAAGACATCATTAAACTATGCAGCGCTGTGGTGACAAAAACAGTGGAGTTGTGTCCTTCCTTCCTTTCTCAAGCAAGAGAAATTAGCGTGAAATTCGAACAAGTTTTCAAGTTATTTGCAGCTTGCCACTTTGTCTATGACAGTGCAGACTATCTCAATGATAGCAACATTGACAAGATAGGTAAGCGAAAGAAAAAACCAGACTTTCATGGAAAACATGAATACGGTAATAAGATCATGCCTTAAGTCCACCTTTTCTTGTTTTCTTGTTGCAGAAGAAGACATCACGAATTTCCTTCAATTCCTTAAGGAAAAATTCTCAGACATGGCGATCACACCAAAGCTGCATATGCTAGAACATGTTCGCCCTTTTCTTCGACAATGGCACATGGGCCTCGGATTCTATGGTGAACAAGGGATTGAAGGAATACACTCTGAATTCAATACCCAGTCTCAGTATTTTGACCATGTGAAGAAAAAGGAGACGAGATTGCGTCAAATCCTTGTTAACAACCACATTGCCACGAGTCCGGAACTAGCAGGGAAAGCTCCCAAACCTAAAGAAAGAAATTGAAAACCAGAAGGGAACGGGTAAAACTCTTTCCTTTTCACAAGCAATGTATCGATTCGTAGACTAAGAACGAGTACCATGTGTGTAAATTTAGTGTTATTTATTTGCTCAAGTTCTAATTTAGACGAATAAAAGTATAACCGCACTCTTTGAAATCAAAACTAAATCTTTCCAGTCGTTTGCAGGCTGTTTCGCTTGAAATTCAGTACATTCGAGATTCAAAATGGAGTCGCATAACGCCCGATCTTGACATATTAAAAGCGCCTCGAATGGAGTCTCAAACAATTCGGATTAGAACACTTACCTCTATCAGTTGTTCAGTAAGGTTTCAAGTCTTCTCTTGTGACTCTTGCTTGGCTGGAAAAAATTCGAGCCTTTTCCAAATTGAAATCAAAGTTTTTAGTTGATTTCATAGGGTGTGCTTCTTAGACTCCACTATAGCAACGTGTTTTCGTCGAACACAGGCAAAATTTGACCGATTTTACTCAAATTTTCGACGGCAAGTGCCTCTTCCATGAGCATGCATCCGCCACTAGTCTACCGTAAGTACTAAAACATGGAACGACCTAAATCCACCTAAAACCACCTAAAACTACCTAAAACTACCTAAAACCACCTAAAACCACCTAAAACCACCTAAAACCACCTAAAACCACCTAAAACCACCTAAAACCACCTAAAACCACCTAAAACCACCTAAAACCACCTAAAACCAGCTAAAACCACCTAAAACCACCTAAAACCACCTAAAATCACTTAAACCCACCTAAAACCACCTACAACCACCTACACCATCTACAACCACCTCAAAAATTTCAACAACCACCTCAAAAAAATCAACGGCCACTCGCAAACTATCTAAAACCATCTAATACAAGGCGTAAATATCTAAAATAAGGCGAAACGATAACACGTCACGTACATGAAATACGAGAATCGAACGAAACCTCCACCTCCCCCTGAAATCTTACTCTCCCTGGTCCCATGCGTATAATGTGTATAATCAACCATCTCACGAAATGAAATGCAATAGTATGCTAATTGTTTTATATTCCCTCGGTAGCAAAAGACTTAAAAAACTTTACAAAATGGACTATCAAGTTACAAAAAATAATAAAGTGAAATAACAAACTCGTTGTCAAGACTGACTTGACCTGGCTTTTTCAACCCTGGGTACCAGCAGACGTTTTGGCTCACGTCTAGAAAGAGTATGAGTAAGAATTATCAATGTACGTACCTTCGGGATCTTCCTCTGGCACGAACGCCATTGTGCTGGCATTCATACAGCATGCAGTTGTACGAGTGGTGCCACTTACGCAATAATGACTCACGTTTTGCTCCAATTACCTTTCCAGTGCTGAGATTATAAATAAAGAAAAACACTACCTTGGACCATTACGTAATCAAATGAAACGTGAGCCAAAACGTCTGCTTGTAAAATTCTTTAGGTCGTTTACTACTGAGGTAGTAAAAAATATAATTGGCATGCTCTCGCATTTCATTTCGTGAGATGGTTTGTTATACACATGGGACCAGGGAGAGTAAGATTTCAGGGGAAGGTGGAGGTTTCGTTCGATTCTCGTATTTCGTGTACGTGACGTGTTATCGTTTCGCCTTATTTTAGACATTTACGCCTTGTATTAGATGGTTTTAGATAGTTTACGAGTGGCTGTAGATGTTTTTGAGGTGCTTGTTGAAATTTTTGTAGATGGTGTCGGTGGTTGTAGGTGGTTTTAGGGGGTTTTAGGTGGTTTTAGTACTTACCACTCGTCTACGCAAACCTGACACCTATCGTCTTCCGTGACTTCATCCTAATTTATGCAAAATAATGCTATTTCATATTATTTTTTTTTGCGAAGTGGACGTGCTAGCGTGAAGGTTGTCGAGAAAAACAACAATGAAGTGAATTCATTTTCCATTTTTCGGGTAAGTTTGCCTTTTTAATTCAGCGTCCGATTTCAAATAAATGTTTTCCTTTAAGGATATAGAAAAAGATTATGAACGATTTTTGGTATAGATTAAGATGAGGACGATGTTCGATTGGCATCGCGTCTACGAAATCCACGCGGTTTCTGCCTGCATTTGTAAACAGTGCCACGGTCAACGAAAAAAGTTGGATCATTTGCCGTAGTCTCAAGGCTCTTATTTCTTTAAGAGATAGTTATGCTGCAAGCGTGAGGAAAAAGCGACTCTTTTCTCAGTCGACAGAATCGCTACAAGAAACAACTACCTTTAATTTAAGTGACTAAACGTCCGGCAGCCGGACACGGTCTTGATAAATTCGCAGCACCGTTCGCAAAAAGACCGAAGGTTGAAGGCGGACAATCTTCTTGGCCCAAGTATATTAAGACAGTGCACCTGGTCTTCAGCGAGAGCTTTAACGGGCGGCACAATAGATATAGTGACCGGTTTCCTCTAAAGAAAAGGCAATCGATCACTGGCGCTCTTTGATATATTAAAGGCTTTCCATAGCCAGTTGGTAACGAAATGGTAATGGAGACATCCTTACCTTACAAAGTAATATCTATGGTTTTCTGCTGTTCTTCTTGAAATGTCTATTCCAAAAGTCACGCAAACTTGCCTTAAAACCTTGTCGTACATCGCTGTTGTCTGAAAAGTTGATCATGAAAGAGTTCTGTTCACCGTCTGGTTCGTTGGTTTAAAAAAAAATTACCAACTCTAGCCAATCAGAATTGACAAAAGAATCGGCAAGAGAGGTTAACCAACAAAAAGTCATTATACATTTTCTTACAAAAGAGTAACGTCACGGAACACGATTAGTGTCAGGTTTGGGTAAACGTTACCTCGCCTCCGTTTCACCTTTTTTGGGGGGGGGGGTGACGGAAGGGGAGGGTACGGCTACACGTAGGCTAAGTCAGTGGTCACCAAAACGCTTTTCCACATAGGTAATCGAATTAAGAAAAAGCACTGCGTGTCAATGTTTGCGTAACATTGACGTGCTGTTTGAACTGTTAGGTTTGCAGAAACAAAAAGGCTTTGATATACTAACGTACACGCATGTAATATCTTATACTTGTCTAAACTGGCATTGATTGACGATGCTCGGAATAAAAACAACCTTACCACGTGAAGGCGTTGTTTTGATTGTAGCAGGAATGTTTGAAAAGAATATTTCGATATTTCTCCGCTCTGATTCTCAATCAAAGCTAATGTGTTAAAACAGGAGTCAGTTAAACAAGCGTCATAAACGTTACGGTTTAAAGAATTAGAATGAGTCTACTCATTATAAGATGTGATAGAACTCTCATTTAAATTGCGTTTGGCTACGAATTAATTGTATCTTACTACCTCAACATATTTTGAATGTGATCTTTAAATAAGGTTGACATTTATGTTGTGACCCACGGACTACGTACTGGAGGACTATTGAAAGCCAAATAATAATATTATTTGTCTTAGGCCAAATCCCACTATGATCCAAACAAAGATACGCATCTCTGATATTCAAACAGACAACAAAGAGTGTCTATTTCGGTGACCTCTCATAAAGAGAGTGAAACGCGGTTATTCCCTCATTCTTGTACACTCCGGTAAAATAATCTGCATGTAGACGTCTCCAAAATGTTTTACTTTGTTTAGTTCGCGCGGAACATAGGTGAACATTGATGTTCACAGCTTGAAAGAGACCTGTCACCTGTCACAATTAATTCCTGTCACCTAGACAAAGCGCTTTTATCCTTTATCAAGCAGGAAAATTGTCCGGACAAAGGCTTCTCAAGCACAGTTGCACGTACGCGCATTTCAGCGTCAGTTGCCCTCGCGCGGTGAAATCGATATTGCAGTTAAAAGCAGAAACACTCAACAGGAGTATATCATTTACGAGCAAAACGAGCCGCGAACTACATGCAACATAATCATGAGCTCCAAACCTTGCCGTGTTGCTCAATGGACTCCTTCTGACTACAAATTTCTTGACAAGTGGTTAGCCAACTTGATCATAGAAGTTCAAATTAAATACAAGGATAAGTTAGCGCTATTGATGGCTCTTCATCCTCCAGCTGAAGATGAAGAAACAGCTAGTGGTGAAACTCCGCCGGTAGTTGCTCACAGTACAATGGAAGACCTCGGTCTCCATCCACCCGTTCAAGAATTATTGAAAGCTATCATCTCCAACCCCGAGATCAACATGTGTTTCCATCAGATGTTCTCGCAACAGTTCAAGAATCCAGATAGTTCGAAAGGGACAAGGATCCCTTGCTGGCAACTGATGACTGTTTTAAACGACCACATCATGACTACAGCTCCAGAGTACAACAAAACCAGTTTGGTTAGTTTCCCCATCTACGCAATCCTGAACTGGCCGATGGCTACGACTGCTGGATTTGCTGCTTTCCTCAACGACAAAATCAACAGGTTGTTCAAAAGTATTCTCAACTATTGGGGAAAGTTTCTTTCCAGTTCTGCTTCTTGTTACGTATTGAATGATGATCCTCGTCATGGCTGGTTTGGTGAAGACGCAATGCAAGCAAGGCCAAACTTCGACCTAGAGTTCAAATGCAAGCCCAGAAAAAAACATCATGGTTTTACATCATGAGATGATTTCTTCACCAGAGAGTTTCGTAATGGTATTCGTCCAGTAGAATCTCCAGGCGAAGATTCCGTTGTTGCGAATGCCTGTGAGTCGGTGCCATATCAGATCTCTACAGCCGTGAAAAACAGGGACTTCTTCTGGATAAAGCACCAACGGTACTCATTGGACTTCATCCTAAACATTAGTGACCTTGCCAAGCAATTTTATGGTGGAACCTTCTACCAAGGGTACCTAAGTGCCACCAGTTACCACCGATGGCACAGTCCTGTGTCGGGCACTATTTACAAGACAGAACTCGTGGATGGTTCTTATTTTTCTGCAACCCACCACATTCAGGATAACCCCGCACCGCCCAACATATGCATATCACAAGGATACCTAGCCCAAGTAGCTGCCAGGGGTATTATCTACGTTCAAGCTGATAATCCCGATATTGGCTTGATGTGCTTCGTGTCAATCGGTATGGCAGATGTGTCCTCCAACGAAATCACCGTTAAAGAAAAGGATAAAGTGAAGAAAGGTGACCAGCTCGGCATGTTTCACTATGGTGGGTCCACCCATCTTCTGATATTTCGCCCCGAAGTTAAAATTGAGTTCGATACGAGAAGTCAAACGCCAGGTCTGCATACCGATAATATTCTGGTGAAATCGAAAATTGCGACCGTACATCCACAATCTAAGCAAGGATTTTGGCAAAAACATCTTGATTTTGTCAGTGTTCGGTGTGAACATGATAATTTTCTTTCTTTCCTCCTAGGAGATGTCTCTTGACAATTAGGAAATTGAATTTTTTTTTTATTTTCACTTCGTCAATTGTTACTAAAGTGTATGGCAAGAACTAAATTTAGAAATGTCCTTGCTTCGTGTCTGTGAATTGTTTAGGCCTGTTATAATATTTTGGAACCCTTATGCGAGTCTCGTGAGCCTTGGTTTGTTATGTGCTGCAAGACCACACATTTATTTTACCTTTTGAGTATTTGGTCCTCGACCGTTGTAATAGGCCTGTTGTACGATAATTGTCATCGCTGGCCGTGTTTTCGCTAGTCCTTGCTTAGACTCCTCATGGGGAAATTTTGCTCGAGGTTTTAACCATCGAAGTTTGGAAGTTTTTCGAGCAAATCTTTTTGTGCCACAAGCATGTCTAATAATTGATGGTGTATTTTCAAACCGAAGCCTTTAATAATTTATTCTAGCATTTGTGATGGGAGTTCTTAGAATAACTACTAACCAAAAGTTTCTTAACTCACATTTGGGGTGAAAGATATTCCCATGATTTACCGAAAGTGCGATAATAGTAAACTTAATCCTCGATGTGCACATTGCCATTTCGTTGATTTCCGATATGTAGAAATAAAGTACTGCAAGAGTATCAAGGGCTTAAATGTTTTGCTTTCAATTGTTCTTGTTAAAAACATCACATTCCACACAAGACCTGGTGCATTTTTAGTAACACAATTGTCAATGTGTCAACCGAAGTAGTTGCTTAGTCACCACCGAAAAAAAAAATTGATCAGCTAACGGAAGATCTCAAGCTACTGAAGGGAAGGAAATATCGTGCGGAAAGACAGACAGACAGACACGCGAAATAAAGACAGATGGACTGATGGAGAGGCGAAAGGATAGACTGGCTTAAGGACGGCAGAACGGACGGATGGATGGAGGGATGAAGCCGTGGATGGGTGGATTAACATAAAGACGATTGAATAAATGGGCGGACAAAAAAGATAAATGGACTTTTGCGCAGGTAAACGAACCACTAAGATATAGTATTACGATTGAGTACTTAGCTGGCTGTAGCTTGGTCGCAAAATTCTTCAACTGAAAATCTAAAACCCTTGAACTCCAAGATCTTATTAGTTATTCTCCTTACTTTCTGCTACACAATTTTTATGATGCCTATTTGGAGAATTTTGTAATGGCACAACTAAATATCCCCTAATTGATATTTTTGTTTATTCTCATCACTTCTAGGCTTGATATTGTCTTGATATTTAGCCTAGCTGGTGGTCTGCGGTTTTGGGGGCAGAGAGAAAAACCGCAGACCACCGGCAACGTAAGCTACTTGATATTGAGAGGTGAAGGGTTAAAAAAATGTCCTTTGCCAGTCATCGCCAGTAGGGGTGTGAGTGTGGTTAAAAAGTGGTATTTTATCATGTCGTTGGTCACAAAATCAGCGATGACCGCAACGTTGACTCCGAATGGAAGCTAACACTTTCAAGAGTAGTTACGTTTTTTCTTTTTTTGCGGGGGTATTTTAAATTGACATCCCTTGCGTGTAATTGATGATTTATGTCCTCGTCATCGGGACTGATGTTTAGTCAACTTCAACTTGGGATCTGGCAAGTTTATTTGCGTAATCACAGACGAAATGTCAATACATATATGAAGCTTTAAGAGCGCTCAGTCGAGCTTAGATTTAGTTCAAAACAGTCTATTCCACTTAGCTTTCCGTTTAATCAGAGGAAAAAGAACTCTGAGTGCTGTTAATACGAGTCGAACCAATTAGTACTTCGGACACTCTCAGTACCGCTGAGCTATAAGTGGCAGGCTAAGCCGTTCTCCAAGTCTGCCTATGTCATTCACTAAATAACATCATCTTTCACTTAAAAGTCACTTGGACAAAAATCTATCATCTTTATTCGCTGAACTTCTTCCTTTAGCTTTGGTACTCAGGGATTGATTGTTTGATTGAAAGCATTAACCCTTTAACTCACGTAAGTGACCAAGACAGAATTTCTCCTCACAAGAGCAATACAATATCAATCAGATAGGTGATGAGAACAAATGAAAAATATAAGTTTGAGGATTTTCCATTTGATCCAGTACCAAATTCTCAGAACTAGCATCATATATAAGAATTATATGGCAGACAGTAAGGAGATTACTGGGCATTAAAGGGTTAAGTAGGTCGCTATTCACTTGTTTGTTGGATTCTTGTGAAGGTGTTTGGGTTATTGTTCTGTCACTAATATTTAATCTTCTAAGTTTGGTTGTCCAACATGTTCACTCCTGTCCACCGGAGGTGAAGATATAAGAGTGTTCTTTAGAGTTTTAGTCAGTGAGAATCAAAGACTGAGCGAGTTCGAGTGATAAGAATAAAGGGGGTAAGTTTTAAAGAAAGTATATTGCTGAGCCGCTACATGGGGGTACCACAAGATAATTAATTTTAGATTTGTCAATACTGCACGTTAGTTACCCTTAAGCTGACGTTTTTAACGTGAGCTCTTGAGCGAATATAGGAATAATAAGTTGTGTGTGGTTTACATGCAGAAAGAGTCAGATGACCAGAGTCACCCAGAATAAGTTTTAGTGTCAATCAGAGTCGATCGCTCAATCACAATCCGAGCAGCTAAAGGTCTTAAAGAGAAGAGTGCAGTGAAGTTAATGGAAGTGGAATTGTAACAGAGAACAGTGACTAGAGAAGACTGAAAAGACAGGCCGAGAGTCCCTGGTGCATTGTTCTTTGGCAAAGTGTGGTACTGCAGCTAGTTTCCCCGTCATTACTGGGATACTTGTGATAGCCCAGTCATAAAATGCCTTTGTTTTTTTGTCGTCTTTTTTTTTTTCCTCCGCCACAAAATGGAAAAATTGCGCAATGGTACCCAGTGCTCATTGGGCCCTCAACACCATGACAACTAACTGTGATCCAATGAGGTGTTCACATGCTGACACGCGTGTTATCTTGATGATGATTGACGTTGTCATGCACGGACAGGGCTGGGTCACATGACTAGTACGAGATTCTTGCTTATTAAACTCTTTTGTCAATCGATTTGTATTTCAACCTGTTTGGATTACGATCACCTGGGACATTATTGCGCAAACGCCCAAAATACCTACAGACGCATACACAAGTCGTATTGTTCGCGGCCAGTCCACACTAAAAGATGTTATTGAGCGGTAATTTTAGAACGGATTGGGTCGCGAACGCTTGAAAGCCATGAAAGCCTTGGATGCCTTCTATGCCTTGTATGCCAATGTCTTAGTTGAAAAACGTACACTTGTTGTAAAAAGCAACATCTGAAATCTGAAACCCAACTGCATATACTCTATGCAACCTATTGAACAACACTACTACCGTGAGACTGAAGAACAAAACTCTAATGGATGCAAACTGCTTGTGAAGAAAGACGCCATGTGGGATTCACTTGATGCCGGGGAACGTAGCTACGATAACAGTGCGAGTGGTATTAATTTCACGATCAGAAAGGTGAATCTTATGTTTGTTTTCATTGTAGTTGTATGGATATTCTTTTTTAATAAATACATGATCCAAAACCCCGGTTTTTTGTGTTTTTTGTGTTTTATGTTATTATGTTAAGTATTGTTTACGCAATTATAGGCGGCCCAAGCTCACGCCTCGAGAAAAAGCCAATGATTAATTCATGAACGCGTCACGCATTGTGTGACTCGGTGTTAAGTTACAAGAGGAACCGATGAAAATTTGAACACGTTACAAGGGAACGAAATATGGTCGATTTACAACGATAAATATTTCGAAATATGAACATTTTTCTCGTAAAATCAATAGAGCTTACTCATACCCTGTGTATCCGTTGTAGTTTCTGACGATTTCTGCCGTTTTAAGCTTGCTTTACCATTACTGTTATTCACGTCATCTACTTTTATTACGTTGGTAAAATCGGTACAGACATCAGACCAACCAACTCGCGCACAAAGTAAGAAGACTATATTGAAGGCTTGAAATTACATTATGATCGGTTTTCATCAAGAAATGGGCCAGGAATATTCCACAATAGTGCAAATAATCGTGAAGGCTGATCGCGAAAAAGCGATTGCGAGACGCTCGGTAAGCTGTAAGATGACATGTTATTTTATACCAGACGTAAAAACTCGTCAGATTCTCAGTCTGCGTTTTGTACCCTATCTGCAGTCTGCAGTCTATATTTTGTATCCGGTCTGCAGTCTATATTTTGTATCCGGTCTGCTGTCTATATTTTTTGTATCCGGTCTGCAGTCTGCTGTCCGCATTTTGTATTAACAGGTATCCGTGGCACCAATAGTTTATTTTTGGTTACATTTATTCGCACAACACACATAATCTACAACAAAATACCTGTGTGTGAGGTAATTAGACATTTTCGTTCTTTTCCGCCTTAATACTCTTCTTTCCTTATGTAAGAATGTAGACTACTTACAATGTTTCAAGTAATCCACCTACCCTACAAAAAATAACTCTTGCATGCATGGCATGCCTGTGTTTTGAAATAGGTGTATGCCCTTGGCCAGACTTGAGCTCACTATTTCAGTATACTAGTCCGACACCCGTAGTATCACTACACTTGATTCCAAGGATCCAGTACCATCCAGTTATCCCAGTTACCCTGCTCACAGGGTCTAGTTGCATCTCAAATTCCCTTGATAACCATAGCTTAATTTGAAAAAAGTTGCAGTCATGATAGAAAGTCTCAGAGATCAAATTTTGGTCCGTACATTTATGAAACCTTTTCCAATGAAACTAGTTTCAGGGCCTAAAGGTAAATACTTGCTAACAATGTTAGACAAGCTTCCCTGCCCGCCATTACGAGACTTAAAGGTAACGGAGTTAAGAAAACAAAGCATGTTGTGATTATGTATCATTTCCGAGGGCTCCCTCAGAAAATTTTCGTAATTTATTTTATTTTTCTTAAACGACTCTTTTAAAGAATTTTGTTTCAAAATTATATCAAAAAGTTCTATCACGCTTTCAAAAAGTTCAAAATACACCTAGTTGGCCGTTGTCCCTCCTCCCCGTAAAACAATGCAAAATAATGCAACTTCGCCAACTTCGCACGCCATAACGCCATAACGCGATGCAATCCCCCTTTCAAATTTTGTGTGTCAGCAGCTGATCCTTTTATCTTTTTGAAAATATGAATATCTTGTTATTTTGTTACGTTTGAGTCTGCTTGGTAACCCGTTAAAATAATGTATTTTACGTTTGTTTCGCAGAGCTAAAATAAACGTCAACTTTAATGGCCTATAAAAAGGTATGCCATGTATATTACAAATCATGATATACATTACCTCAAAGCTTTATCCGTGTGGTTTCATTCCTTTAATTTTTTATCGTGGCCCGCCATAGGAAGCGCGTCAAGGTTAAAGACAGTTGGGGGTTGTTGTGACAAAAATGCAATGCGACCTGCTAAACAGCCATCACAGCCTATTTAAAGGCCTATAAAAAGGTCTAGTATAAATATTTACAAATCATAATATACATCATCTTAAAGCTTTATCCTTGTAGTTTGATACAACAAATTTTCTTTTTTCAAATAGGACTCGCCTAAAGCACGCTACATTTATCATAACGGATGCTGAACAATACAAAACAAGACGATCTAAAATTTTGTTAGCCCGGCTTTTTAGAAGGAAATAAGTACCGCAATTCCATTCGGTGACTATCATAGATATAAATCTGTTCGACGCGACACGAGATTATTATATCAATACTGGTCGGCTCTCTATTGAAGCTCATTATGGTTCCTAAAGATATTAAGCTCTTGACCTTTTTTGTTACTTTCATCTAAATACGTGCAGGTCTCGATGCCGATTGAGCTGTAGGTTTGATTCCTGACTTGGGCTCAGAAATATTCTGACTAATTAATAGCTCGGAGGATACCTCCAAATTTCAATCAGTTCGTCCAGTCTACGCAATATTTTCGTGCTGTTTTAACTGTTGGGTTTGCAGAAACAAAAAGGCTTTGATATGCTAATGTCTAAACTGACATTGACTGACGATGCTTGGACTGAAGATAATCTTATCAGGTGCGCTAAGAAACTAAGCTTTTTCTTCTTATGAAGGCGTTGTTTGGAATGTGATGTTGTTGGAGGGAACGTTTGCAAAGGATATTTCGATATCTCACCGCTTTGATTCTCCATCAACCCTAATGTGGTAAAGCAGGAGTTAAACAAGCGTCAAAAACGGTACAGTTTCAAGAATTGGAATAAGTCTACTCATTCTAATATTTGATAGAACTGTCATTTATATTGCGTTTAGGTAGGAATTAATCGTACCTTATCGTCCCAATTAATATAATTTGAATGTGATCTTTAAATCAGGTTGACATTTATGTTATGGTCCATGGACTACTGAGGAACATTGAAAGCCAAATGTTCTTCCTCAGGATAATTTGTCTAAGGCCAAATCCCACAATGATCCAAACAAAGACACATTTCTGATATTCAAACAGACAACAAAGACCGTCCATTTCGATGAATCACTTGAACCCATTGCAATCTGAAGTCACGAAAAAATAACCCCTCAGAAAGTAAGCGTAGCACGGAAATTTCCTTATTCCTGTATACTCCGATATGATAATCTGCACGTTGACGTCTCCAAACTGTTTTCCTTTGTTTAGTTCACGCGGAACCTTGGATGAAGCTTGGGATATTGCCAACAGAGGCCGACCCTCAATAACCTGTTAATTGTCACGGTATGAAAGAGGCCTGTCATCTGAACAAGGCGCTTTCATCCTTTATCAGGCAGGAAAAATTTCCTGACAAGGGCTTCTCAAGCGCAGTTGCACGCACACGCATTCCAGTGTCAGTCGCGCTTGCGCGATGAAATCTATATTGCAGTTAAAAACAGACACATTCAACAGAAGTATATCATTACAACTCCATAGCGGATTAAATGTGAACCTCAAAAATTGAGGTTGTTAAGTATTCATATATTCAGGCTATTGTTCTTTCTCATTACTTATTCATTCCGATGAGTTTGCCGACATGCCGGCATGCTTCCGAAGATCGTGAAGAGCGCAACTTCTCTGATGTAGGTGAGATATTTTTCTTTTGTTAACAGATGAAATAAACTCTCCCGGGAATCTGCTTGATTGATGTCTAATAATTGCTACGCATTCCGGTGTGTTGGGCAACATGTCAAAGACATCAACCTCGGATCAAACCCAAGCACTTATCAGCTTACATGTCTTTTCAAGTAGAAGTAAACATTGCATGCACGGTCAGATCACAACAAGTTCATTCGAACAAGACGAAAGTTGTGAAAGAAAGAACCGCCAGCGCGCGAACACGAGCACTATTTATGACACGCAATATTTACATAATAAAGAAGTAGTTTAATTCATGTGCACTCATTCGGATCAAAAAAAACGATCGGCGCTCGAAATGATAAACTATTTTCGCTTTTGCGGCTAAACTTCAGAATACCCCGCAACTCATTTCCGCCTCACTTACATGTGTCGGGAGGCTTTGAAGATCGAGGCATAACACAATAGACGCTATTCTTATTCAATGACATGTAAATGAGTTGCGGGGTATTCTGAAGTTGCTCCGCTTTTGCTCTTCGCAGTGATTACAACAACTCGTCCAAGATCCATTTTTAAATCTTTTGCGACGCTCTTTAATCCTAAAAACATATTAAGGCTAAAAATACACCGTGAATAGAAAATAAATCCATTCAAATGATTGCAGTTTATCGATCTCGAGTTCATTCATCTCAAGACAATGTAAACAAAAGGATACAAGATCACAAGTCTGTTCGCGCAAGGTAGCTTAATTACACTATTGTCCAAGTCTTTTGAAGTACCTTCCGCACTTCCTTTGGTCTTCTTCCGAAATATCTCACCTTTTTCGAAACGAATAAAACCGAAATCATTCGACACGTTTTCGGCAGCCACCGAAAGCAATGCCCAAAGGAATAAACCGAGCCTTCGATGTAAAAAATCCAGCGGTGTCACCCATTTCAGTAAGTCACAATTAATCCGGGCTGGAGTTGTAATGATTATTTACGAGCAAAACGAGCCGCACACTTCGTGCAACATAATCATGAGCTCGAAACCTTACCGTGTTGGTCAATGGATTCCTTCTGACCAGAAAGTTCTTGACAAATGGTTAGACAACTTGATCACAGAAGTCAAAAGTAAATCCAAAGATAAGTTGGCGTCATTGATGGCTCTTCATCCGCCGGCTGAAGATGAAGAGACGGCTAGAGGTGGAAATCAGCTAGCAGTTGCTCACGGTACAGAGGAAGACCTCTCTCTCCATCCGCCGGTTCAAGAATTATTGAAAGCTATCATCTCCGACCCCGAGATCAACATGTTTTTCCATCAGATGTTCTCGCAACAGCACAAGAATCCAGATAGTTCGAAAGGGACGAGGATCCATTGCTGGCAACAGATGATTATTTTAATCGACCACATCATGACAACAGCTCCAGAGTACAACAAAACTGGTTTGGTTGGCTTCCCCATTAATGTAATCCTGAACTGGCCGATGGCCACGACTGCTGGATTTGCTGCTTTCCTCAACGATAAAGTCAACACGTTGTTCAAAAGTATTCTCAACTATTGGGGAAAGTTTCTTTCCAGTTCTGCCTCTTGTTACGTGTTGACTGATGATCCTCGTCATGGTTGGTTTGGTGAAGACGCAATGCAAGCAATGCCAGACTTCGACAAAGATTTCAAATGCAAGCCTAATAAAAAACATCATGGTTTTACATCATGGGATGATTTCTTCACCAGAGAGTTTCGTGATAACCGTCGTCCAGTAGCATCTCCGGACGACGATTCCATTGTTGCGAATGCTTGTGAGTCGGCGCCATATCAAATCTCTGAAGCCGTGAAAAAGAGGGACTTCTTCTGGATAAAGCACCAACGATACTCAATGGACTTCATCCTAAACATGAGTGACCTTGCCAAGCAATTTCATGGTGGAACCGTCTACCAAGCGTTCCTAAGTGCCACTAGTTATCACCGATGGCACTGTCCTGTGTCGGGCACTATTTACAGGACAGAACTCATAGATGGTTCTTATTATTCTGCGACCCACAACATCCAGGATGACCCTGCATCGCCCAACATGTCACAAGGATACCTAGCCCAAGTAGCTGCCAGAGGTATTATCTACATTCAAGCTGACAATCCCGACATTGGCTTGATGTGCTTCGTATCAATCGGTATGTCAGAAGTGTCCTCCAACGAAATCACCGTTAAAGAAAAGGATAAAGTGAAGAAAGGTGACCAGCTCGGCATGTTTCACTACGGTGGCTCCACGCATCTACTGATATTCCGCCCAGAAGTAAATGTCCTGTTTGATACGAGAAATCAAACGCCAGGTCTGGGTGCCGAAAATATTCCAGTTAAGTCGAAAATTGCGACCGTACGTCCAGCAACACGTACGTCCAGTAGCATCTCCGGACGACGATTCCATTGTTGCGAATGCTCGTGTACCATTTGAGTAGTTGGTTCTCGACAGTTGTACGATAATTGTCATCGCTAGCCGTGTTTGAGCTTGTCTTTGTTTAGAGTCCTCAGCGGGAAATTTTGTTCAAGGTTTCAGCTATCAAAGTTAGGAAGTTTTTTCTGGCAGATCTTTTTTATGCCTCGAGCATGTCTAATAATTGATAGTGTATTTTCAAACCGAAGTATTTAGACAATTATTCTAACATTTGCGATGGGATTTTTATTGATAGTTACTAACCAAAAGTTTCTTAACTCGCATTTGGAGTGAAAGTTTACAGAAAGTGCGATAGTAGAAAATTTAATCCTTAATGTGCACATTACTAGTTAGTTGATTTCTGATATGTAGAAATAAAGCACTGCAAGCGTGTTAAGGGCTTAGATGTTTTGCTTCCAATTGTTCTTGTTAAAACATCACATTCTACACAACACCTCAGCTGGAGAACAAATTCTAGCCTCGAGCGAACCTATTTGGTCCATTTTTAGTAACACGATTGTCAATTGTGTGCTAGCCCAACCGTTTAAACACTGGGCCAAAATTAATGAGATTGGCTTGAATAAGTGATGTAAGATTTTAAAGAGGACTATTGAAAGCCAAAATGTTCTTCCTCTGGATAATTTGTCTTAGGCCAAATCCCAGTATGATCCAAACAAATACACACATCTCTGATATTCAAACAGACAACAAAGAGCGTCTATTTCGGTAAACCATTTCAGTTCATTGAAAAAATGACCCCCCAGTCAGAAAGTAAGTGAAACGCGGTAATTCCCTTATTCCTGTATACTCCGATAAGATAATCTGCATGTAGACGTCTCCAAAATGTTTTACTTTTTTTAGGTTCACGCAGAATATAGGATATGCCTTTCACACTCCGGCATATTGCTAACGGAGGCCAATCCTCAACAACCTGTTGATGTTAACAGTTTGAAAGAGGCCTTTCATCTGGACAAAGCGCTTTTATCCTTTATCAGGCAGAGAATATTCCAGACAAAGGCTTCTAAAGCACAGTTCCACGCACACACATTCCAAGTTTTGCTTTTAACCATCTCCTAAAGTTTTACTAAATCATTTCTAAAACTCAAAAAACGCTTCTGAGAAAGAAGTTTACGAGTCATCTGGACAAAGCGCCTTTATCCTTTATAAAGCAGGAAGATACAATTAATTCCTGTCATCTAAACAAAACTCTTTTATCCTTTATCATGCACACACATTTAAGCGTCATTTGCGCTTGCGCGATAAAATCGATATTACAGTTAAAAGCAGACCATTCAAAAGGAGTATATAATTCACTAGCAAAACAAGCCGCGAACTACATGTAACATAATCATAAGCTCCAAACCTTACCGTGTTGGTCAATGGATTCCTTCTGACCACAAATTTCTTGACAAATGATTAGCCAACTTGATCATAGAAGTCCTTGCTTGGAGCCCTCAACGGGAAATTTTGCTCAAGGTTTTAGCCATCGAAGTTTGGAAGTTTTTCAAGCAAATCCTTTGGTGCCACGAGCATGTTTGATAATTGATGCTTTATTTCCAAACCGAAGCATTTAAATTGAACTCCCCTTTATCTGGCGGCTATTGTCGTTGCTTGGCCCAATCCTTGTCTTTTCTGCGCATTCGACAAGATGAGAAACCTTAGAGAGTAATCTTAACGTACCTGAACGTGATTAACAATAGTGCACCAATATTTGTTTCGAAGAAATTTATAGGCTTACACGGGGATAAGGTTTTCCAACACCTGTAGGGAGACTGAAGTAGTCGCTTAGTCACCACCGAAAAAAAATCAGCCAGCCAACGGAAAATTTCAAGCTACTGAAGGGAAGGAAAGATCAACCGGAAAGACAGACAGACAGACACGGGAAATAAAGACAGAGGGCCTGATGGAGAGGCGAAGGGATAGACTGGCTTAAGGACGGCAGAACGGACGGATGGATTGAGGGATGAAGCCGTGGATGGGTGGATTAACATACAGATGATTGAATAAATGGGCAGACAAAAAAGATACATGGACTTTTTCGCAGGTAAACGAACTACTAAGATATGGTATTACGATTGAGTACTTAGCTGGCGGTAACTTGGTCGCAAAATTTTTCAGCTGGAAACCTATAACCCTTGAATTCCGAGATCTCATTAGTTATTCTCCTTACTTTCTGCTATCCAATTTTTATGATGTCTATTTGGAAAATTTGGTAATGGAACAACTAAATATCCCCTAATTGATATTTTTGTTTATTCCCATCTCTTCTAGGCTTGATATCGTCTTGATATTTAGCCTTCGTTGCTGGTGGTCTACGGTTTTGGGGGTGGATAGAAAAACCGCAGACCACCAGCAACGCAGGCTATTTGTTATTGTGAGGAAAAATTTTTCTATTGGTTACTCATGGGAGGTAAAGGGCTGGACAAAATTAAGAAAATTCAGCCTTACAAAATTACAGCGACCTAAATCAGTGAAAGTCACAGGAGATTAGTTTGTTGCAATATCCAGGAGCTGAAGATAACGCACGACTTGAATGTGCTTTAAAATGTTCTGGGAACTTAAAGAAAGATACCATCACCATCCAGGGGGGGAGGGGAGGGTGAAGGTGTAGCTACCATTTACGCGCCACAAAGTAAATTATTATGTGCTTTGCGCGCGTATAACTTTCCTCGCCCCTTCTTTCTCATGTGAGTTTAACCCTTTTACTCCCACGATCTCATTAGTAATTCTCTTTACTGTCTGCCAATGATTCTCATTATATTTCTTTGGAGAATTTGGTACTGGATCAATTAGTAATCCCATATTTGAAATTTTTCTTTATTCTCACTACCTGTCTGCATGATATTGTATAGATATAGTAAGGAGATGTTCTCCCTTGGTCACTCACGGGAGTTAAAGGATTAAAAGCGTTGTTTTCTCTCAGTTTTAAGGCTTTATGACCGACATGTCCCTTTCGATTGATTTTCGTGACATTAGCTTCATGGACCTTTGAAAAAAAGTTATTTTGATGTTAGATTTAAATTTTTTGGAAATTGTGAAACAAAGTAGTTGATAAGATGGTCGCATTCTATACTTGTGGACATTGGATGCAGTTAACTTGTTTATTAATCGATTTGTTGTAGAAAGGCGAGTCTATCCTAAACTAATGCATAAAGGGGGTAAGTTTCTAAAGAAACTGTGGTGCTGCGTCGGTGGGAGAGTATGATAGGGTGGTTTAGTATTATCAATTGAGTTGATAACGTAAATTAGCCGCCTTAAAGAGTTCAAAAGCGTTTAAACTCTTTACAGTGGACAATTTACGCAATCAAGTCAGCTGATAATACTCAATTACTAAGTTAATGTAGGCTAATTGTTGGAAGCTAATTGTGACCGTTTCGAAATTTGCTAACTTGTGGCAAATGATTTGTCTTTATCAACGATGGTTTGACTTTACGACATAAACACTTAATCTGCGTAATAGTTGAGAAGGAGTACTGGTAATAAATAAGTTATAGAGGTATATGGTGCCCCCAAATATAGGGCTTTTAAGCCGTTCTGGTACAAAGACAGGTCGGTGTACATTTTTACCATTTTGGTTTAAAATTAGGTAACTATGTTTTTCAAGAAAACCACGGGTATAAACGTAGCTGATTTTTCAACATGAATCAAAGTGAATCACAAGTATGAAAAAGATATTTTTCTTTTGTTTTCTTTGGGTGATTTTCGGAACTTCTTAACTTCGGCATTGATACAAGCCTTTTCAAATTCTTCTACAACATAAAGTAAAAGGATTCTCAAACCAAGCAAAATTTGTCTGGTGGGGATATTAGAGGCCAGGTACAAAACTAATTATTGAAATAGCACTTTTTTTTTATCTGAAATAGGGTCTGGGTGGATAATCCCTGCCAAACATCCCGAGGCGGATCCCCCTCCCTATCCAGGGGATAGCATAGCATGGCTATTTCAAAACGACCCCAATGGAAATTTAGTTCGCGCATGTCAGATTGACATTTTCAATTTGAAACCGCTGAAAATGTACGCTTAACGGCTCAATCATGATCAGCATCGGCGTACAGGAAAAATTTTGTTGGGGGGGGGGGCCTGAACATAGTTTGCCCGAATGCAACTTGATGGTTACAGATGCACAAGATGATTCTTTCATGATGTCAAGTTTTCTTCGCCATACCTTGAGAGCACGGGCGTTCAAAATAGTGCAAGTATTTTCGGTAAATCGAGATCAACATTTCTACAATACCAAACCAAGAAGTGAGAGATAAAGCGTACCCATTTGAGCTCTAAAAGAAGTATGAAGAACGATTACTTCGACACCCAATTATGTCAATAATCCTTTGCATATCATTCTGTATTGTCTTGTTCGCATACTTTCTTTCAATGTTAACAACAGCGATACTGGTAAGTCTGTCTTGTCCCATTGTGGATCTTAAAAATGTCTTGATGCGGCGAAGGGCGCTGAAAGACCTTTCAGCAGAACACGAGGTTGCAGGAATTGTGGCCAGGATGGAGGCTACTTTATATAGAATGGGTAAAATGTCATGGAGACCATTTTGATGCATGGTCTTTACCATCACAGCTGCGTTTTTTCTCTGGCATGGGTCCCCGCAGTCGTAGTTTTCAAAGATTGACTACTCACTTGATAGCATTTCACCATCCACGCCATAGAAATTTGATACAGTTTGGATGTTGTTGATGCTTGGAGAATGTCTGAATACGATTTCGCCCAATGCGCACAAAACCTCTTGGTCATTGCCCTCAAACCTTGATTGAAGTTCACTGACGACTTTGTCAATACTTGTGTAATAAACTGTGATACGAAAGTGGTCTTTTGCCGTCTGTTGTGAGTTGTCGTTCGCTGCAGCAGTTGTCTCGCCAGTGAGGCCCTGAAGTCGGCGTGATGGTCTGGTTCGAGGCATCTTGGCTTCTCTGAAGGTAAATTTCGTACCCTCGATTCCTATTCTGATTTTTTGCGC